ATACCACTGTTTGTTCACTTGTATCTTGCCACTTTGCTGTAATTCTTCATTAGTTTCAAATATTAATTTTTGTATATTAGTGCCTATGTGTGTGTCTCTATGAGTTTGTAGGCACTATGTGTGTGTGTACAGAAGCCAAGTGAGGCCAGGGCACTGGATCCTCGAACTCAGGTCCTCAGGAAGAAGTTGGTATTCCTAAAAGCTGAGCTGTTTTTTTTTTTTTTTTTTTTGCCTCCAGTTTTAAGCGTTTTTGATGGAATCTTCAGGGTCTAAGTATAGAATCATATTGGGTACAAGTCAGAATATTTTCCTTTTCTACTAGTCTTATTTTCATTTCTAATATTTGCCTTGTTGCTTTGCCTAGGATTCTAAGCACCATTTTAAAAAACTTTTTATTGATTCTTTGTGAATTTGATATCATGCATCCCAATCTCACTCATCTCCCCTTCCCTTCCTATCTGCCCTCTGCCCATGCAACTTCCTCCCTAAAAGAAAACAAAACATAAATAAATAAATAAAATAAAAAACCATATCATCTTGCTATGGACGCTGCAGTTTCACGGTGTGTCACTCAGTATACCATTTTGCCCAAACAGCTTTACTTGCAAATGTTCATTGCAATGAGTCATTTGTCCTGTATGAGGCCTCTGGCTTCTGCTACACTATCAATATTGGATTCACAACTGGATTCCTCTCAGATGTCCTGTTGATGCCCTGTGTCATGGAGATTCTGTAGCTTTTGTTCTGCAGGACTGGCCCCTTCACATGCTCCAGCAATTCTGAGATGGGATAGATGTTAGGGTGGGCCAACTCAAAGGCTTGGATCTGGGTCTGGGTGATAACTGAGTTGATTAGCCCACCAAATCTCCTGTATCTGTACCACCAGGGCCAGCTCTTCCCTTTGTCTAGGCAAGGAGCAGGGCTAGTCCTCCTGCCTGTGGCAGCTGGAAAGGGGTGAGGCCAATTCTCCCACTCTCCCACTCTCCCACTCTTGGGGGCTGCTCTCCCGACACCATGCCACCAGGGCCAACTCTACCGTGCTGCCTAGGTGAGGTCAAGCACCGTTTTTAGTGAGAATAGTGAAAGTGGACATCCTTGCCTTGTTACTGATTTTGGAGAAAAAGCTTTTCATTTTCCCTCATTTGGCATTCTGTTTTTAGTCTTTTTTCTCAATAATTTTAGCCTCCTACCATTCCTTCCCTTTACCAGTGGTGAGTTTGGATTATCCTCATTTTTCTAATACCTTGCCAGCCTCAATAAGGTTATTTATTTGAAAGCAGTCTACTTAATGTAAGCGACCACAGTTAGAATTTTCCTTGTTAAATCTACATCCATATTCTGTTGCATCATGTTTACATTTTCATTTAGGAGTTTTACATTTTCTCCATGAATTCTTCAGTGACCTACTCATGATTTTAAAAAATGTGTCATTCAGCTGGGGGAGATGGCTAGAGATGGTTTAGTGGGTAAAGCCCTTGCTATGCAAGGGTGAGGACTTCAGATCCCCAGAGCCGATATAAAGCTGGACATGGTAGCACATACAGCTGTAATTGCAGAGCTCCTGCCGTAAGATAAGAAGTGGATATAGAAGAATCCTAAGAGTCAACTAACTCGATACATGGGGTAGTCATGAGATGGTGTCTCAAACTCGGCCAAAGGTGAGGACTGACAGATGAGGTTGTCTTCTGCCATCCATCCAGATGTTCACTGTGGCTGGTGATCTCTCACACACACACACACACACACACACACACACACACACACACAGTGCATGGTGTACAAGTTGTTTCATCTTCATGTATTTGTATTGATTCTCTTGCTGTACCTTGTACTTCCATTCCAAAGCCATGCATAGAGATGTAAGAAAGTATTTAATTCTTTATAATTGTTCCCACTTGCTGCATGGCTTGGGACATGGCCACCTTGGGGATGATTCCCCATGTTCCTGAGAAAATGTACATTCCTGGCATCCTTCTTTCTTCTCGACTGTCTTTCTCTCTATCTGTTTTGCTCTTTCTCTTCCCCCTTCTCCCAGTTTCCTTATCACTTTCTTTTCTTTCCACTTGAAGATCACATATAATTTATCTGTGAGTGCTAACAGCCTTCATAGGCTTTTAAGTCCTCCATGAATTTTAAACGGACATAAACTATTAATCTCCAACTTTTGAGACTATCACAAAGTGAACACATTCTAGACATTATTAGTAGTATAAAGAAGGGAAGTTAAGCCCATTCCCCATCAGTAATATCAACTCATTGTCAAAGGATACTATGAATTTTGGTTAGTACAGGCGGTCACATCATAACTGACTCTAGAATGTTATGTCTCACAAAAACAGAACAAAAGGGTTAGATATCAGACTGGGTCCTTTCTCCTCCAAGGCATCTTGGACAGAATAACAAAAGTGAGGTTACGCTCAGCTATGAGGGAAGGTTTATTCTTGGCCAGAGGATGGAGAAGTGGCCAGTGAAACAGCCTTCCATTCAGGTAAAGGACGAGGGGTCTTTTAAGGGTCAGGAGAGGGAGCAGTTTAGAAAACAAACATGGGTATTTTTCTTGAACTTTTCACGAGGGAGACAGGTCCCTCCAGGGGTACCACTTCGTCTCCTTTAAGGCTCATGTGAACTGGTTAGAATCTCTTTGGGAGGAGGCTGGACCAAGGTGACACCATCAGACAGAAATTTTACTAGGCTAGTGTATTACAATGAGATGATAATGAGTCTGGGGGTGAGTAACAGGTCAGCCAGCGTCCTTTAGGTCTGAAACCTGTTTTACCTGGTTTCATGTTCTACACCAGGCTTCCCAGGAGCATCCAGGTCCTCAAAGTCTGTGGCTGGCTCATCAGGAAACATCCCCTGCCTAGTCTGGGAATGAACAAAACTTAATAGAGCTATGTAGGTTCTGTAAGTTACAAGAGTCACAAGGTCCTTCTCCAAGGCTCTAGAAACAGTGGCAATTCTGGAAAGAGATGACTCTTCAACCTCAAAGCTGCCTGAGGGTTCTGCAAGGAGCTTTAGGGATGTGGCTTTCATGAATATGGCCCATGCTGGGATGGTCTTTTTGATGATGTAGCTGCATCTGAGTGGTCCATGCTCTTGTTAGTAACACCAATAAACTACCCAGTGCACTAAGGTGGATTTGGTTAAAATCTTTTGTCTGGTCTGTTGTCAGTGTCCTCTGGGGATTGAATAGATGTTTCATGCCCCATAAGGAAAAGTCACACAACACTGGCAAGGTATGTCTACACTGAAACAAGTAAAATGAGTGGACAGTGTGGTTACCTTGTATCCAAATTCAACTTTCATAAATCAGAAATATCTCCCATGGGGCCCCATTGGTATTCCAAATAAGGAAATTAAGGAGCACCACTTTCCCTTGAAAGTACAACGTCATAGTAACCCATGTAGAAGAAGAGCCTGGTAGTGCAAAGATAATGTCAAGAGGACGAAGGATGTCAAGATTCACAGAGTAGACTCCAGTCTGGTTGAGGTTCTGTGTTTCCCAAAAGACAACTGGGTGTGGAAACACAGAAGTTAGAGTTAAGTGACCCATGCCTGCCACTGTTGTCACTGAGGAGCTGAGCTCTGGCCAGGGGAGGAACATCTTTCCTTAGCCTTCTATTTTATTATATGTCACACATACTTTGGTCACGTTGCATGGCATTTCACTAAATTTTAGAACACCATTTGACCATTGAGTAATTGAAAATCATAATAGGCCTGCTTATTCTCATACAAACAGGGACAAAGGTGTTGATGGGGGTGTGGAGAAGCAGGGAGTGGCATGTGAAATGGTGTAGGAGGCAAAATTGATGAGCATTCCTCAAAAAATGAAAAACAAAAACATTGTATGGTCCTGCTGGCATATTGTTGGATATCCGCATGAAATAATTGAAATCACAATACTGAAAATATTTTGGCATTGGCATATTCCTGAAAGCCCTATTAACAATAGGCCAGATGTGGGAACAACTGGAGTGTCCACCAGCAGATAAGTGGATGGAGAAAATATGACAGAGGAGCAATGCAGTGTGAGTCTATTCAGATGATATTTGTAAAAGTTAAAGTCAAAATAGGAGAATAGGAGGTGGTTTCCAGAGGCTGGGCTAGAACCAACTGAGAGTCGGGGATTAGCTTTCAGATATGCCAGGTGACAAACTTCCAGAGAGCTGCTAGGCAATATCATACCTACAGTGTGAGATGCAACATTTTACACTTGCAGACCTACCAACTTGCACATATCATAGCAAGTGACTTAGCAGAGTATAGTAATGAGAGACAGTATGGAATGGACAATGATTCAGAATCTATTGACAATTTATTAAGGCTTCTAGGGAGACAATCCAAAGTGAATATGAAGGAGAGCATAGCATACAAGAACCAAGAGTGCAATGCAGGAGAAGACGTGATAGTAACAGTGATGGTTGATTGTGGGACCTTTTGATGACTGCCCAGAGACGGAGGAAGTGAGGATGGAGGGAGACCCAGAGAGATGCAGGATTTGAAGATGGAAGCACAGGCCATGATCCTGGTGGGGAAGGGATGCTGAGATGCTGGAATTGGTGAGGAAGTCCTCATTCACTGGGGATTTCAGAATGGGTCGCCTCCCCCAATGCTGTCACTTTATCCCATTGGGCTTCCGTCCTCTATAACTGAAAGACGATGCATTTGGTTTCTTGTTTGAAAAAGAGGATTGCAGTAACAAATGACTTTTTTTAAAAAAGTGTTTTTCAAAGCTCTTCTGAGGGGGTGTTAAAATCTTGACTTGGGATGTAAGTGGGGGCTAGTCCTCTACCAGCTATGAAGCTGGCACAGTGGCCACCATCCCCAGAAGAGGAGAGTGTGAGTGATGGACCATGCTTTTTTAAAGGGGAGACACACTTAAAGATTTCTGCTGATAGTCTGATGGTTTTCAGAAAAGATAAAAAGTGAATTTGTGCTAATATGACACACCGGGCATCACATAAGCACAATGTGCAGGCGTTCATTTGGGAAGCTGGTTAGCAGCAGCAGGGCTGGCAGCAGGTGGGCACACAGCAGCAGGGCTGGCAGCAGGTGGGCACACAGCAGCAGGGCTGGCAGCAGGTGGGCACACAGCAGCAGGGCTGGCAGCAGGTGGGCACACAGCAGCAGGGCTGGCAGCAGGTGGGCACACAGCAGCAGGGCTGGCAGCAGGTGGGCACACAGCAGCAGGGCTGGCAGCAGGTGGGCACACAGCAGCAGGGCTGGCAGCAGGGAGTGCTGCAGCAGCTGCTCACACAGGTTGGTTCCCAACAGGTGGCCTTGCAGCAGGTGGTCCTGCAGCAGTTGGGCTGGCAACAAGGAGAGCAACAGGAATGGGTCATGATGTCAGATGTGGACTTTGTTCACTGTTTTCCAGAATGCAATGGCTTCTTTTCATTTGGCCTTTTATACCCTGGGCTTCCAAGGTGTGCACCAATCAGTGAGCATTTTCCTTGTTGTTGTTTTTATTCTTTTATATTTAGATTAAAGACTGACAAAGAGGAAGTTGCTTATGAACTGTTAATGGGCTTTTCAAAAGTAAGTGTTTTTAGTATATTTGTGGGTTGAGATAAACTCACAACAGTTGTTTCAGATAAAAGGAGAGAGTCACACCATCATTTGGTCATGTGGTACCTCCTGCTGTTTGGAAGGATCAGGATCATTCCTCCACAGCTTTGTTCCTTTGTGCTTAGATGAGGGAGCATGTGTGTGGGGAGGAGCCTGAGTATGCCGTCCTCCCAGTGAGCAATGCCATGCCTGGTTCCATGTCTCTTTATCCTGGGAAGTCCCACTCAGGAGAGGTGCATGCACATGTGTTCATGCCAGCTTCCACACCCATGTGTCTCATGTGTGTTACAGGCACTGGGGAGATGGTTGGGAAAATGTATGCCCATTCACAACAGTACAGGTCAAGTGAGTAGAAGCAGAAGGCTGGCGCTTAGATTAAAAATCACCAATCAGTGTTGCATCCTTGGTGACCAGTAGTTTTCCCCATGTCTAAATCATTTTTCAGAATGAGAAAAAAATCTATATATGTGGGGCCAGAAACATCTGAGGTCCATTCTAAGAATACAAAATGTGCTGAGGCTCTTGTCCTAACCCTATAAAGTGAGGGAGTCAGTGATTTGGGGTGACCGAGTTCTCTTTTCCTTTGCTTGTTTTTTCAAGGGAACAAAGGACTAGTTTAGAGGAGATGATGTCTGGGTAATAGGTAAGCTCTAATATATTTTACATTTTTGTGAGATACAGCATTTGTCTTTGTTGTTACTATTGCTGTGACGATGGGGGATTTCCTTCTGTATATACGTTTCTCTTATTGGTTAATGAATAAAACACTGCTGGCCAATAAGGCAGGAAGATAGGTGGGACCAGGAGATGAGGAGAATTTTGGGAAATGTAGGCCGATGGAGTTGCCATGAGGGACTGGGAAGATAGGACACGACAGGTCTAAAGGTCTAAAGGTCATTTAGAAATACTTAGATTAATAGAAGTGGGTTAATAATTAAGACAGAGCTAACCAATAAGAAGCCCTCGTCATTGGCCAACAGATTTATAACTAATATAGCATCTGAGTGCTTATTTGGGGCTCAAGGGCTGTGGGACCAGCCAAGACAGAAAGCTCTTGTTACACTGTAATGAATCACCATGACCAAAAGCAACTTGGGGAGGAAAGGGTTTATTTCACTCACAATTCCATGTAACAGTTCATCGTCAGGAGCCGTGAGGGCAGGAACCTAAAGGCAGGAGCTGATACAGAGGACATGGAGGGGTGCTGCTTACTGGCTTGCTTCTCAAGACTTGCTCAGCCTGCTTCCTTATAGAACCCAGTACCACTAGGCAAGGGATGGCACCACTCACAATGGGCTGGGCCCTCCCCCATCAATCAGTAATTAAGAAAATATCCTACAAGCTTGTGAACAGCCCAACCTTATGGAGGCATTTTCTTAATTGAGGCTCCCTCTTCGAAAATGACTTGACCTTGTGTCAAGCTGACATAAAACTGTTGCAACACAGCGTTCATTAGAAGGTGCTGAAATTATTAGTTTACAACTTCTTCACAAGGTGAACATGCCTGAGTCAATACAACCACATTGAGAAACTGAACTAACCACCATCTTCTCAGAGTAGAATCTCCTCACATCTATTTATTAATATAATAAATTATAGGTTACTTCCAGCTATCTTTAAAATTTATGTGAGCAAAGTAGTATAGATTTTGCCACTTTTGTGTATGCTATCACCATCAGTTAATTCAGGTATTTCATCCTTTATCATTGGTTTATAATCTCCAAGTAAATGGATAGGACATAATTTCTGTCCTCTACTGTTGTTCATGTTATGTTTAGCAATTTGAGGTTATTAAAATATTAAAAATAATTCTGTTATATAAGGTTTTGAAAAGATCTTCAGTTATTAGATGGATTTTTTTTTTAAGTAAAACACCTAAGAGCAGAATTGCTCATCAGTTTGCTTAGTTAGAGGCTGGAGAGGAGGCACAACAGTTAAGAGCACCTGTTACTCTTGCAGAGGACTTGAGTTCAGTTACCACCACCTGTACCAGAGGGCTCATAATTGCCTGGGACTCCAGTTTTAGGGGATCCAGCGCCCTCTTCTGGCCTCTTTATGCATTAGCATACATGCAGCTCACATGCATGTACACACACACACACACACACACACACACACACACACACACACACACACACTAAAGATAAATCTTTGGAAAATTCCTCAGTGAAATTTCTATAAAGTTGTGTCTAGAGGTCTCACATCTCTTCCATTAGATTTATTCTGGGCATTTTCTTTTGTGCCAATATGTATGCTGTTGTTTTAATTCTTAGCTCTTTAAAATGTGGGAGAACAATCCATGCATATACATTGCTTTTGGATACAAATTCCTTTATTACTTTAATGGTTTACCAACACAGGTTTGGGGAGGATTTGAAATGATCTGTATTAACTATAGGAGATATAATGGATATATTTTTGTATATTCTTGATACAGCAGAAACAACTTAATATTTCACAATTATAATTCTTAGTGTCTGTATTGTCCATTGTCTCATCAGAGTAGCTGGGATTTTTCCTTATTGTTTAAACTATTATATCTTTAAAATATTGATATTTACAGCACTCCTTTCTCTCATGGTTTTGGATGATACTATTTTTTATTTACTAACTGTTTTTTAAAAACAAATATCAATGTCCATATCATCACTCCGTCTTGTATTTCTGAGGACAATTCATTGTGGTTGTGATCACATGTCTGTGGCATGGAGTTTGAATGCCTTTTATGCTGTTTCTGTTTATGATACATTCCACATCCAGCATTTAACTTTCTGGTCTGTATTTCCTTCACATCCTCCAATAAAATTAGCTATCAATATGTCAAGATTCCTCAGTCTCTTGTGATTAAGTTTGGTCTTGATGTGGCTCTTTGTATTGTTTTTTTTTTTCTAAAGCACTTTCCTGCTCAAACCACACACTAATGGTATTATTGCTGAGTGTGGAATGTGGGCAGCAATTGTTGGAATAGATATTACAGAATCAAGCAACACATCCTGCCGTGACTCGGGTATGATATGTTTCTCCAAGGTTTATGTGCTGACAGCTTGGTCCTCCCTGTACTCTGCCTAGACAGCACACTGGAGCCCACCCTGCTGTTGGGCCCATGGGTGAGCCAGTCCTGAGGGCATGAGAGCAGGAGAGAGAGCCCCACTCATCCTCCTACATATACCACCTACAGCAATTGGGAGAGAGGGCGGGCCCTGCACCTTGCCTGGGCAATACAGAGCTGTCCCTGGTGGTGTGAGTGTGGGTAACTTGGATCTGAGGATGGGAGAGAGGAGAACTGGCCCTGTTCCTTGCTGCAGGCAGCATTGGGTGAGCTAGCTGAAAAGCTGGAAAGCTCACCTGGGTAGTGATGATGAGGGAAAGCTGGTGGACTATCCAACCCAGCTACCTCATAGGCCCAGAACCAGGGCTATGAGTTGGCCCACCCCAACATCCACCTCATCTATGAACTATTGGAGAAGGTGAAGGAGATGAACCTACAGATCCAAAACAGCAGGATCCCCATGACACAGGACAGCAGCAGAATATTCAAGAGGAGCCCCAGAGAAAGCTCATTATTGGTGGCTGGCAAAAAAGAAGCCAGAGATCTTGAGCCAGATCAATGACACATGGCATGAACACTTGCATGTAAAGATGCATGGACTAAAGGGTAAACTGTGTGACTCAATGGGCCACCTACAGTTTCCACAAGCAGCTTCTTCTCTTCTTCTTCTTCTTCTTCTTCTTCTTCTTCTCCTCCTCCTCCTCCTCCTCCTCCTCCTCCTCCTCCTCCTCCTCCTCCTCCTCCTCCTCCTCGTCCTCCTCCTTCTCCTCATCCTCTTCCTCATCCTCATCCTCCTCCTCATCCTCATCCTCCCCCTCCTCCTTCTTTTCTTTCATTTCTTTGTTTTGTTTGGGTTTGGGGTTTTCTTTTAAATTTGGTTTTGTTTATTTTGGGGGGGAAGGTTCAAGGGGAGAGGAAATAGAGAGATAAGTGGGATTGGAATGAATGATTTGAAATCCACAAAGAATCAATAAAAGTTAAAAAAAGTGGGACCTTGTGGAAGATAATTAGATTGTGAGGATTGGCCCTCATGAATGGATTGATATTGGCTCCAGGGTATGGGTGGGTTTTTATGGGGCTGAACTGGCTCCTAAGAGTATAGGTTGTTATCAAACAAGTTTGGTTTTTGTCAATGCAGTCTCTTACTTTTTCTCAATGCACATTCTCTCCTTCTGTTTCTCTGCCATGCTGTGATTGTCAAGGAGCCCTCATGAGATGCAGATTTGGCTAATGTTCAGACTTGTCAGACACCTGAATCATGAGTCAGATAAACCTCTTTCCGCTATAAATCATATGGTCTCAGGTGTTTCGTGATATCAACACAAAACATACATGGACACATTTTAAAGAAAGTGCTGAAGCTAGCAAAATTCATCCTGGTTTAGTTGACAATTTATAAAAAATAAGTAAACGAGGAGTGGTGAACTACAGTAGTTTTGATGAAGGGGAGGCAGAGACACAAGCATTGACAGTGTCTATCCAAATACAGTACAAGGAAAAGGGTCATTACCCTGTGTTTTCCAGGTCTTGAGGTAAGCCATGGAGTTCACTATGAATTCAAGAGATCCCAGGAGACATGCTGCCACTCTTATTTGCTTTTCATTTAGAAAGTGACTTTTGTTGTCTCACTTTCCTTTACAATTCATGACAAGAGAAATTACTTAAGACAGCACAAGAATTTCAGTTTTATACTTATAATTGTGATTAACACCTATACATATTTGACTTATAGATATAATACATTTTATGTGCTCCCTACAGGAAGTCTCATCCTCTTCCATTTTAGCAAGATAAGGTTTCTAATTTACGAGAATCATATTCAAAACCTGGTAGATTTGTTGAAATAATAAAATTCAACTTATAAACTTCTGGAAAATGCTCTCATTCTTTTTTTTTTATTTTTGGGTAAACCGGTAACGGTTTAAGGCCACTCTCTATGTATCTTCAAAAATGATGTGGTTGGGCCAGGCGGTGGTGGCGCACGCCTTTAATCCCAGCACTTGGGAGACAGAGGCAGGCGGATCTCTGTGAATTCAAGGCCAGCCTGGTCTACAGAGTGAGTTCCATGTCAGGCTCCAAAGCTACACAGAGAAACCCTGTCTCAAACTGCACCCCCCAAAAAAAAACCCAAAATGATGTGGTCTTCTGTATGCTTGTGGTCTTGAGGGAATGACAGTCAATCTATTAGTGAATTGTATTGTTTGGGCAGAGTTGCTCAGGGACCCAGTGAGATTTAATTTGAGTACTCTGTTACAATTCATCCACAGAAACCAAAACCTACCTTAAGCTCTGCTGAAATCTTCTAATCTGATAGGAATTTTCTCAGCTGTGTGTGTGTATTTGCATCTCTGCTAAGACTGCTTCAGAGAGCATCTACCTCCTGTGTTCTTGATACTTATTTTCCTTGCTGGGACCATTGTGATATAGACCTTGAATGGCATTACTGAGATGGTCTTTGCCCCATTTGATACCTCATCTGCTCATATCTTCTGTTGAGAAATCACATTCATTTCATTCTTGTCTCTGGGATCTGTTTTCCTATCTGTGGCTGATGCTATGACTATACATTCTCCCGTTGGTTGAATGCGGGTGTGAGGGGGTGGGTTGTGCATATGGAGGCCAGCAGTCAATGCTGCATCTTTTGGTATAGCCTTTACTCCTTAGTTTTTGAGACATGGTCTCTTACCACCTACTAGACTGGCTGGCCAGTGAGTCCAGGGCTCTTCCTGTGTCCTTGCCAGCACTGGGATTACAAGTGCCCACTGCTATATCCAGCTTTGTATGTGGGTTCTGAGGACCTGAACTTGGGTCCTCATGCTTACACAGCCACCTTTATAAACTGAGCCACCTCCTAGCCCTTACATTTTAGATTTGGAGTTGTACCCTGTGTAAGCAGGACCCCACAAGACCCCATAAGCTCTTCTATGTTTATTTTTCTTAATATCTACCCACATTTACCTCTTTGACTGTCCTTCCTATACCCCATTCATGGCTTCTAATGACACACAGCTCCTGTCTTTTATTTTATTTTACTTTTTTTGAGACAGGGTCTCTCTGTGTAGCCTTGGCTGTCCTGGAACTCTCTCTGTAGACAGGCTTGAACTCACAGAGACCCGCCTGCCTCTGCCTCCTGAGTGCTGGGATTAAAGGTGAGGGCCACCACTGCCTGGCTTACTTTTAATTTAAAAGTCCTGTAGGTATGATTGTGTGATAAGCATACTCATCTACTCCCCATTCCCTTCACTCTCCCTTTTGTCTACCCTTCCATTGCTAATCCCCTTTAATCCTCTAGAAATTTTCACCTATATTTTCTTTAAAATCATTTTTGAGAATTTCATGTATAATTATTGTATTTACATCATTTATACCTGTTGCTTCCCCCAAAGTCCTTCCACATCCTCTCATATTCTCTCTCAAATTCATTCCTTCGTCTATAATTATCACAATGCATGATCATGTGTGCTCTCAAGTGCACACACACACACACACACACACACACACACACATGCGCACACACGCGTGTATGTGCACACACACATGTACACACACACACACACACACACACACACACACACTCACACACACACAGTCCATTTACTGGTGCTAGCATGTGTCTAGGCCTGACTACTTGGTATTGAACAACCTATCAGGGGGGCTCATGTCTGGAGAAAACAGATTCTCCCTTTCTCAGCAGACACTGATTACCTCTAGCTCTTTGTCTACTGGTGGGTGATGGGAGATGTCCTTCTGTATATATGTTTCTCTTATTGGTTGATGAATAAAACACTGATTGGCTGATTGGCCAGGCAGGAAGTATAGTCAGGGCTAGGACATGAGGAGAATTCTGGGAAAAATACGCAGATGGAATCAGCAGGAAAAGCCGGGGAAGAGAGGACACGCCAGGCATTTTTCAGTCAGCCAAGACCATGTGGAAATACATAGATTAATATAAATGGGTCAATAATTATGACAGAGCTAGCCAATAAGAAGCACTAGCCACTGGCCAACAGTTTTATAATTAATATAGTGTCCATGTGTTTATTTGGGGTTAAATGGCTGCCAGAAGCTCCGTTACAGGTGGGGCCTTGTAAGAGTTTCCCTATGCATGTAGGCATGCCAACTAGTATTGTCATTATGCTGGTCTTGCTTAGGTAACCACATTGTTGCAGTTTCATGGGTGCAGCATGATTGTCATATCTAGAAGACAGTCTAACAGCAGATGTTCTGCCCCCCTTCTATGATGTTCTCTGAACGCAGGTGTAGGGTTGTAGATACACCAACTGGGGATGATCGAAACTCCAGGTTTCCCTATATGGTCGCTTATTCTCTGCATTTGACTAGTCATGGAGTTCTGTAGTAGTATGTTTCCACAAAAGGAAGCCCCTCTGATAAGTGGTGAGAGCTGTGCTTATCTATGGATATAAGGATAAGTGTTGAGAATACAGCTAGAAATTCTATTGGTTTAGGTAAATGGCAGCAATTCACTTCTACTTTCATGATATATGTGAGTATATCATGTTTATGTGAGTATATAAAATATAGGAGCCAAAAATAAAATAGGATATTTGTCTTTCTGGCCCTATCTTAATTCACTGGACACAATTGTCTACAGTTGCAACAACTTTCCCCAGAAAATAAACGTAATTTCATTTTTCTCTATGGCTGAAAATATGCAAGATGTATAGAAGCCACATTTTTCTTACCCATCCCTCTTTGTTGGTTGTCCAACATAGCTACTGTGAACAGCACTGCTGACATTCACTTTCCTGTGCTCTGACATATACCCTGTGCATTCCCGTGTGAAGCTTTCCCCTGAAGGACAAGCCAGAGCCAGGCACTCCTTCCCAGTTCCTAGTTATTTCTGTTTGGAGTAAGATGTAAGTGAAAGTACCATGAGATAAGACAAGACCCAATTGTTGCCCCAGATGACAACGAATACAGAATGTTTGTTGGCTTTGAATGTGTTATGAGGCTATTGGGGGACTGTGCACTGATGATGGAAGTAGAAGGCATTCAGAACATACGCTTTTGTGAAGGAAATGCTATTGGAGCACATAGAGATCCAGAGAAAGATGAAATAGCATCCAGACATTTTTCAGAAAGAAAACACAGATTTATTTAGAACACAAGTAATCCAGGAGACAATTTAAAGTGAACCCAGTAGTGAAGAGAATAAGAATACCCTGGGAAATGAAATCATTCATCACTGGGGAGGGTTAAGAAAGAAGGATGGTTTGCTTTGCTCATGTTGCTTGGAGAGAAAGAAGGAAGATTCTTTTCTGAATGACAGAACATATCCTGAGACCAAGAGAAGATTTAACAGACCAGAGAAGGCTAAGTAACGAGCAATGAGAAGAACGGACTCTCTCATCAAGCAGACACCCACAATCATGTACAAGAAGACAACCTATTGATAGTTAATGATGGCAAAGCACGCAGAGTGATCCTGTTGGAGAATTTTGGTTAGATGACGGCAAGCTAGCATGTGACTGAAGATAGAGTCAGCAGCAGCAAGGTTGGGAGCAGCTGGACCCACAGCCTTGGGACAGGCAGCCAGGCACACAGACACATGTGGGCTGGTAGCAAGTCCTGGTGCAGGTCACAGGTCCAGAGCAAGCTGGCTGGCAGCACAGGTCAAGGCAGAAGGGCTTGCAGCAAGGCTTGCAACAGGGCTTGCAGCAGGGCTGGCAGCAAGGCTGGCAACAGCTAGAGATACAGCACCTGGGCTGGCAGCAGCTGGACTCACAGCAGCTGGGCTGGCAGCAGGGCTGGCAACAGCTGGGCTGGCAGCAGCTGGGCTGGCAGCAGGGCTGGCAGCAGCTGGACACACAGCAGCAGGGCTGGCAGCAGGGTGTGCGGCAGCAGCTGCTCACACAGCTTGGCTGGAAGCAGGTCCTACAGCAGGTGGTTTGGCAGCAAGGCTGGCAGCAGCTGGGGCCACAGCAGATGGGCAGACAGGCGGGGCGGGCGGCGGCGGGGCA